CAGTATCCCTGTGTGTGTAGTCAAGTGAGAGCAAGAGCGAGAGAGAAAGGGAAACCAGCAGGGTTGAGTCATTGAGTCATGTGGCATTCTTGCCTGTTTTCAGACTGTTGTCAGGAAGCAGTGTAGTTCCCAGTGAAATAAAGCAAACACCCAAATAACCCTCAACTGCCTCCCACCTCCATTTCCCTCAAATCACACAAAAACAGGGAGAAAGAGAGAACAGAGTAGAGAAAGTTGGAGATGAGCTTGAACGTAGGGAAGGACAACAGCATTTTTTTAACTTTCAAAGGTCCCACATATGTATACCCAAGTTTGCTATTCTTACTTCAGAGTCCATTAAAAACATCACAGTTATTTAGAATCAGTTACATAAATAAAACTGATCTTTTAAACAGTAAAGCTGGATTATTTACCAATTGCAAATTTCTTGCAAATTTCTACTCACTATTACCAAATTCAACCACAAATAATTTTTTTTGCATTTATTCAGACAAATTTCAAAAGTTGATTTCTCAGAAATAGAACACACTTCTCTTTTTAATTGTCATGTGCCCGTCCATTTGATGTCTACAGATGGACGTAATTAACTGTATTCTTCAATATAAATCACAAAACCTGTCAGAAACCTGCGACTAAAAAGCCAACCATTAGGTAGGCTGTGTGCATAGTAAACACTCGCAAGGATTCAAAAACTCCAACTGGATTTATTTGTCATATCTGTTTGATCTCTCAGTAATGCTGATATGCATTCAATCTCATTGTCATTTGTCAAAGAAGCCAATTGTAACATTATTAACAGCGCCAACTTGATATTTAAAATGTGCCAATCTTACCCCAGCTCAATGCCAAATCCATATTAAAATGTCATTCCTATATTTGATTGCGTTTATTTCTGACAGTGAATATTATTATCATCCTCCAGTCACTTTGATTAAAAACAAATATGATTCCAATCAGTGTGTGGAAGGCGTATATGAAAGGAAATATTGAGATGCAATATTTCCGTAAATTTAGATACAGAAGAGTCACAATAAAGTCCACCAGTGGCTCCAACACATGAAAAAGTTCTGTATCTGTGTAGCAAATGCTTTTTTTTTAAATTAATTAAAGTTACCATGAAAATCAAAAAGAGGTTAAGCTAAATCACCCCATTGATCCCGAGTATATTCTTTGTGTTGTCATTGCACTGAGGGTAAACAGCCAATGGCCTTTGATTTCCTGTGAGTCATTAGCATGGAATTGGTTTGCAAGCCACTGTAACCTTGTGACCTGCCTCTATAACTCATGTCACACACTGATGATGTAATTCATCAATGGGGTCCAACTGCAGCTCATGCAAGGAGCTGCAGGTTCAGGGGGAAGAGTGAAAGCCGCAGAGCAGGAAAAGTGGTGGGGGTTGTACGGAACAGCCGGGATAATGACCGGGCCACGGGATTTGATGATGGGTGCATATAGGTGTCAGGAGAGCACAAAAGTGATATATGACAAACTGGATGTTGGATGAGTAGATAGGTGTGCAAAAGGTGTGGTGTCAAGTTAAGACGGGTCCAGCGGTAGATGTGGTTATTGCATACAATGAAATGCCAAGCTGCTAAGCTGGATTCAGGCGGGTGGTGGCGGTGGTGGCGAGGGTGGGGTCAAGGACCGTACGCAGCAGATGCTAGAGCTACCTCAGCTTGTAATGTTCAGCAACCACAGGGGCCATTACATCCAGCACTATCAGAGAGCACAGAGCACATCAAACCCTGTAATTTAGCCAGCAGTCGGTCACACACACACACACACACACACACACACACACACACACACACACACACACACACACACACACACACACACACACACACACACACAGAAGTACAAGCACAGCTCAATTCTTAGGAAAAGACAGAATTTGGTCCACCTGCGTATGCATCGGTGTTTGTGTTGATGTTTGTCTGAGTGGGGGTTTTTTTTTAAGGTCAGACTGCAGGAGCTAGACAACATGTGCCCATCAGGATAATGTGCCCTGTTCCATTAACAGGTTTCAGAATAATTAACGGGGTTGTTTCGATCCGAGACTCGCGCTGCCGGGACAACAAATTGAAACTGCTCATGTCTGCCTCTAATTATTTATAGACTGCTTTACATTTTGTGGTCAATCTTCTTTTAAGGATATTGGCTGTGGTGTTTGTAACTGAACATATTGAGTGGTTCCAAAGCCAGTGGGGAGGTTATCAATACCATCTTTGATCTTCCACGGTGTTTGTGTTCCTTCCATTAAATACTCATGTCATACGTCCCCTGATGGTAGAGAGGGACATATCCAGGAAGATACACATTGGACTTTTTTTTTTTTCCAATCACTTTGCATTCAAGATTTTGCCATATATATATATATATATATGTATTTTTTGTGGCAGTTAACAATCAACCATTCTCCAATTTCACAGCTACTCCAGACTTGTAACCACTAGGCCCACCATGTCAGCTTGTTTCTTATGTCTGTGTGTTTATGTTTGTGTGTGTGTGTGTGTGTCGCCAGGTCTGGTTTGCATTCTAATTCATAAAAAAATCACACATATGTCGGGCATGGAGGGTCAGCAACAAATGCAAGACAAAGAATGCCGAGCAGAGATGAAGAGAAGAGACTGATTATGTACTCATGCTGTTTGTATGTTGCAGTCTGTTTGCGTTTAGATTTGTTTCTCTGTGTGTACACTCAGCAGTGCCTATGGGCGAATGCTTACAAGTATTAAGATTGCAGGGGGTGATCATCTGACACAGGGAGGTATAAGTAAGGAGGGGAAGAGGTATGAGCTGAACGAAATAGGATTTTTTTTTTCTTGTCTATGCGGTCAGAGTAAATCTCCTTACTCAGGGGTTTTGTGTGCGAGGGGGGCTTTAACATCCCCACTCTCCTTGATGAGACATCTTTCTTGTTTGTTCAAACCATTCATTACGTGGTGGCTGTTGGACGAGCCGTGCCGCTGGCCAGCGTATTTATCACCAGGCTAGAGCGCGCTCTGGCTGACAGTAGGCGATTGATGACCGGGTCTGGGGCTGAGAGGCTGAGGAAGCCTTAATACAATGTAAATGACCCACTCCCATTTCCAATTTAGGCTGCTCCTATCTCCACACTTCCATACAACATCATCTTTAGCCAGCTCTCTACTTGTGTAGGTTTTTAGGCGCATTTGCATACTCGAGGTTTATATAGTGTATACTTAAAAGGAAAAATGGATTAAAAAAAAGGATATATATATAATATGTATATATATATAAAATAGAGCTTGTATCTTGTGCACCCTGTGGCTTCTCTTGAAAATGTTTACACAGAGACACACACAAATGTGCATACACACACACACACACACAATACCTTGGCGACTCTGTCTCCAGTAGCCAAGGAAATGTCAACACCTGGCAATCAAAAAATGTATTTCTATGCAAGCATTATCATCTTTCCTTTGTTAATGATTTTAGCATATTAAAAGGGACTAAGTACACAAGTACAAATCAGATTAATCCCCCTCTGCAGCCGGGAGTCATTATTTGTCCAATCTCAGCCTTGTTTGTTATTAATTGTGCACATTCCTCAAACCATTTTTTCATCCCTTCTTTAATTAAAACAGACTACATTTAAACAGGCAGGGCTACCTGAAAGGAGGAATCTCCTTCTCTGCTGATATGACTTCTCATATAAATTATTACAGCGGTAAATGAGAAAATGCTTCTTGAGCAACTGCTATCATTTCAAGTTAAAATTCAATTCAATTAACACGAGCTGGGCATACATTGCCAGCTGTGAAATGTGCTCAATGAGCATATACCCGGAAAGGAACTGAAACAATCAAATTAAAGTTTTGAAGATTTAAGGTATTTTTCTTTTTTTGGGGAGGGGGAGTTATAAACATCACCTCAAAAAGGATTTGTGTGTGTGTGTTTTGATTTGTAGGTGTCAGGTCTATGAATAATTTTCATCTGTCTATTTGCATTTCTGTTTGCACGTGCTTGTGTGCATGCATGCTTTCTGTTTACAGCGGCTGAATGAAACACATAGTGTCTCATTTGTTTCGTTTGCGTGCGCCCCGACTCCTAATCTGGCCCTTAAAGACATCTGTCACCAGCGATCACTGTTGTTTTGTCATGCTTCATAGCAGGCCCAGGGGGAACAAGGCAGCCCAAGGTCTGCCATTTATATCAGCCAATGTTCTCTAGATTGGACCTGACACAAATAGTATCATTGCAGACCTTGTTGGAGAATTACATTTTCAGGTAAAAATCTTGGCATATCTGTGGAGCACATTTCACAGCATTCTCTTCTTTTAGCATTAGTCTCTTTTCAGCTGCTCTCTATGAAAGAGCCACCACCGGGATACATGTCAGACATTCAAGGAAAGATAAATGTATTCTCCACAAATCTTCACCCACTCAATCTGTTGCTGTGCCGGTATGTTATAAAAGGATTCTCAGACACCACAATATATGGCTTAGGCCTACTGGAAAGTCATGTTTGTCAAAGTGTGTATGGTCATAAGTGTCTTTTCTTTCTGGAGGTGTGCTATATGTTGTTTTTGTGTAGGCAGGGTGGGGATAAAGAATGGGGGTTATCACTGGTGACAGTGTTGACAAACTTGTTTGGCCAGCTCCTACAGGTTTTGCACTAAACTGTGCGTGTGTGTTTGTGTGTGTGTGTGTGTGGGTGTGTGTGTGTGTGTGTGTGTGTATGTATGCGCGGGTGTGGACACGTGTATGGTGTGAATGTCTATAATGTGCAAGAGGCGGCATTGGGTGGAGGTCATGAGAAGGTCCAGTCTTAAGTTACACAATGCAACAAACACAGGAACATATTGAATAGATACAGTAATAAGCAACAGCCATGAACTTGACTCGAAGCACGTGTTCGTTTTCCAGCGCTTCGCTATACGAGTGCTTACATGCATGGATATTTATGCTAATCTGTATGTCAAAGAGGCTCATGTATGTGTTTGTTTCTCTCTCTCTCCTTGCTCCTGCAGCACCCATACCCTTCTGAAGAGCAGAAGAAGCAGCTAGCCCAAGACACGGGCCTCACCATCTTGCAAGTAAACAACTGGTGAGTCAAGATTTCCGCTTGCCCTATCTCCACCACCAGCATCGCTCTGCCTTTTATTTTCAAAAGCCTTCGCCTCCCTCTCCCCATCAGCCAAGACGGCTAATGCTCCTAAAGTGTGAAAACCGTTTATGTACATCCCTCCCCATCGCGCACAGACACATGCAGAGGTTCACACATAGACATACACACAGACAACCTTTGTAACATTATTATATGTAAGCTACCAGGATGTTCCGGTGTTATCTGTAAAGTGTTCCGCGGCTAAGTCAGTGGTCTTTGTGGTTTGATGCACATGTATTCACTGGGATATATTTAAGGGAGACAGGCACTGATCATAAGCTACCCCTACAGCCCCCACACCCACCCCACCCCTTCATCCAAAACCATACCTACCACCGCCACTGGTGCCCCCACAAAAGGCAAAACTGCCTTTCCACCCCCTCCCCATTTTACACCAGCTATATGGTGGATTAAGGTTTTGGTGGCCTGGCCAGCAGGGCCTTTGTAGATGGCTTAGCACATAACTGGGGGTGGTGGATTAAATAAAATGATCACAGAAGCAAAGAAATGATACAGGAATTACTTATCAAAATACTAGCCCAGGTTTTATCTGCAGCTTAATTTTGTTCAGTACATTCTCAGGGTGATGTTCAGATTAATTGAACTGACAGCTTCCTTTCAAAATTCCGGGAAGGTATTTGCACGGATTTCAGGTCTTACACAAACTTAATTATATGGAACCCCATTTTATCATTCTAATTCCATGTAGCGGGGGTTCTATTTACAAATGACAAGTCTGTGCCTTTTATTCACAGCTTTCCTTAATATATTTATCAAAGCGGGTTCATTTACAAAGTGCTCTATCTGTTGGGTACAGGCAGGCTGACATTAACGAAGCTTTTAGGTTTATCAGACTCGCAGCCTGACAAGCCACCCGAGGGTCAATTGATTTTTTGGTTCTGTGATTCATTTTTTTCTCATTTTTCCTGGATCACAATGAGAAACATGCCTGGAGAATTAGCCTGGTTTGTCGGCCTTATCTATCAGCCCCCTCCCTCGTGCTCCCCCCCACTATCTGACATACTCTGTCTCCTTCGTTTCTCTCCCTCTCTCTCGCTCGCTCCCTCTCTCTTTCTCTCCCCTTCTTTCTCACCCTTTGCTTTATTCCCTTCTAGCCAGGGGAAGTCAAGCTACTTAAATTGGCCACAGGAACCGGTGTTATCAGACTTTAATGCACCCTACAGTGTGGATAGCATTTCAATTACACTAGTAACCAAAGATTAGCCCCCGCTTGCCTGTTTCATGCCTCGTGCCACCGTTTCGGGACGCCATGCACCTTACCTACAGGAGCAGAAAATTGAGTTGCCTTGCCTGTGTCATGGTGATTAATGCAGAAATACTCTGCTAACCTGGGAGGAGAGAGAAATAGACAGAGACATAGACAGAGATAGATCTGAGACGAGTCCCTGCCTTCTCATTGGCCATGAAATTCAAGCCATCCATTTGGTCTGAAAGCATCTTGCACTGTGTAACATCCTTGAGCATACGCACACAGATGCATAATCACAGATGATCACAGAGCTGTATTAACTTTACACCAGGCCTCTTATAAAATACATACCAGTTACTGAAGAGGCTTGGAGTCCATTAGTGTATCTGTGGTGCATCCCGGCTGATGTCGGGAGGCCTGGGTGACTCTGCCACGTTACTGGCTATGTTACAGTAAGGGAAAGGTGAGAAGAGGGTGCAGAAGTTTTCCACTTTTTACTATCTAGGCTAGGTAGCAAGTTATAGTTAAATGTCTGACCTTTTTGTTTTTCTCTTTGATATTTGGTCCAGTGGCTGCTCAGATCATTCACCCCAGATATGACAGAACTTAGCCATATGAAATTCCTGTTTCAAAAAAACCCCTCAAATTCCTGGCTGGTCCCTTGCATTGTTCTGTTATTCCCTTTGATGCATGGTTACTGCCATGTTACTGACCAGAGAGAGGGAGAGAGAGAGAGATAGCGACAGACAGGGGGGAAAAGAAGCAAAGGATGATTGGGGGGGAATAGGGAGGGGATGGCCGCCGTCTTCGGTTTCCAGAGCTCTCCCTCGGGGAAAGGATGTGCTGAATCAGGGCTTTGTCCGCCGGCACAATCGCAGCCCAGCGAGGGCACAACGGTGCACTGTGTGATAGTCAATAGACAGTGCATCTCACTCTCTCCCCTTTTGCCCCATCAAACCTCCCAGCACCATCCCCTCCAAATGACACCTAGCTTTACATTTACCTGGAGCTCACCTGTGCAGGCAGAAAGCAAAACTCAACTGGTTTAAACCCTTTTGTCTCAGCGCCACACTCTGATACTCCGGCGGAGTCTAACTTGAGAATATATAATTAGAAAACAGCCTCACCTGTTTGTAGCCCACACGCCAACAGCTGTTTGATGTTAATAAGGGCAAAGGAAAGGGTTAAAGTCCACAATCTCATTGCTCTGGTGTTGAGCTTATGAGAGGAAAGACTTGATTATCCTGTTAATAGTTTCCCCTGCGTTCAAAGGTGTGTTTGTATGTGCATTATTACTAATGGGAACTTCAGAGATGTGTATGAGTATACAGTGTGTCAGGACACCATTAGTTGACCATTAGATAGTGTGGGGTTTTGTTTGCCCTGCTTACATTTGAGACAGCAGGCGTCATGCTAAGAGAACGTGGGAGTGGTCTGATATGTAATTGCATTTGTTTAAGATTGCAGGAAAAGGTGAGGGCCATGTCACACATGGCATTCTGGGATAGCGAAGTAGGTGAAATGGCAGACAGGTGTTCATAAGCTAAAGAAGCATTTAGAGTTTACAGTGTCTGGCGGCAGATTTGCTTTCCTCAGCAGCTCCCAGTGTCCTGCTATCATTCTGAACTAAATGGAGCCTGACCGAATCCTTTCATGTCTCAGCATCACACCCAGCACGATGTGCCCTCGCTCTCTGCCATAAACACACACACACACCGACTGTCCTGCCGTTATTTACCACAGCACCAACGGGTACGCGCGCGCTCACACAGGCGGCATGTAACTACACACACAGGGTTATTACATGGGCCTGAGAGATGACACCGATGACAGATGACTGAAAGAAATGGCATCTAAAAAAAGGAAGGAAATCGGCCCGTCATTATTCCCTCATCTCGCAGGCAGCCAGTTGGTCATTTCCATGGCTGAGTGAGGGGGGGGG